CTGGAAAAGGCATTGGTTGTCACCAAACTGTTCTTGGATGAAAATGACTTTACCCCATTCCTCAGCAGTCCAATCCCTGTACCTTTTGCAGAATATCAGCTTGTCCCTGATGTTTTTCCTGGAGAGAAGTGGCTTCTTTGCTGCCCTTCTTGACACCAGGCCATCCTCCAAAAGTCTTTGCCTCACTGTGCGTGCAGATGCACTCACACCTGCCTGCTGCCATTCCTGAGTGGTGCCCCGATCCCGCAGCTGAATCAACTTTAGGAGACGGTCCTGGCGCTTGCTGGACTTTCTTGGGCGCCCTGACGCCTTCTTCACAACAATTGAACCTCTCTCCTTGAAGTTCTTGATGATCCGATAAATGGTTGATTTAGGTGCAATCTTACTAGCAGCAATATCCTTGCCTGTGAAGCCCTTTTTGTGCAAAGCAATGATGACGGCACGTGTTTCCTTGCAGGTAACCATGGTTAACCGAGGAAGAACAATGATTTCAAGCACCACCCTCCTTTTAAAGCTTCCAGTCTGTTATTCTAACTCAATCAGCATGACAGAGTGATCTCCAGCCTTGTCCTCGTCAACACTCTCACCTGTGTTAACGAGAGAATCACTGACATGATGGCAGCTGGTCCTTTTGTGGCAGGGCTGAAATGCAGTGGAAATGTTTTTGGGGGATTAAGTTCATTTTCATGGCAAAGAGGGACTTTGCAATTAATTGCAATTCATCTGATCACTCTTCATGACATTCTGGAGTATATGCAAATTGCCATCATCAAAACTGAGGCAGCAGACTTTGTGAAAATTAGTATTTGTGTCATTCTCCAAACTTTTGACCACGACTGTACACCTATATAATGCACCTATAAAATACACATATATAATACACCTATATAATACATGTACATAATGAACCTATATAATGCACCTATATAATACACCTACTGTATATAATGCATATATTTTTACAGTACAAGGGGAGGGTCTTGAAAATATTTTCAACGTAGGGGAAGGGAGTCCATTTTATTATGACACCTCGAGTTGGACCAGCATTGTGAAGTGGAAACGTCTAGCAGCAACAACGGCTCAAATGGGTTTCCATGCCGAGCAGCCGCACACAAGCCTAAGATCACCCTGCGCAATGCCAAGTGTCGGCTGGCCTGCACAGAGCCCTGACCTCAACCCCATCGAACACCTTTGGGATGAATTGGAACGGCGACTGCGCGCCAGGCCTAATCGCCCAACATCAGTACCCGACCTCACTAATGCTCTTGTGGCTGAATGGAAGCAAGTCCCCGCAGTCATGTTCCAACATCTAGTGAAAAGCCTTCCCAGAAGAGTGGAGGCTGTTATAGCAGCAAAGGGGGGATCAACTCCATATTAATGCCCATGATTTTGAATGAGATGTTTGACAATCAGGTAGTGTACATGGATAGCTAAACTTCAAAACTGTCTAAGGGCATTTTTCGGGGCAAACTAAAGGAGGAAAAAATAAAACACAACCCTTCCTGTTTTAAATATGATATTTGTGTGCAGCATCAGAAGGTATTCAGAAGGTATTCATATCCCTTGACTTATTCCACATTTTGTTGTGTTACAACCTGAATTCAAACGGATTCAATATTTTTTTCTCCCCCATCTACACACAATATCCCATAACGACAAAGTCATAACATGTTTTTAGACATCTTTGCACATTTATTGAAAATGAAAAACAGAAATATCTCATTTACATAAGTATTCACACCCCTGAGTCAATACTTTGTAGAAGCACATTTGGAAAAGATTACAGCTATGCGTCTTTCTGGGTAAGTCTCTAAGAGCTTTCCACACCTGGATTGTGCAACATTTGCCCATTATTCTTTTCAAAATTCTTCAAGCTCTGTCAAATTGGTTGTTGATCATTGCTAGACAAACCATTTTCAGGTCTTGCGATAGATTTTCAAGTAGATTTAAGTCTAAACTGTAACTCAGCCACTCAGGAACATTCAGTTTTCTTAGTAAGCAACTCCAATGTAGATTTGGCCTTGTGTTTTAGGTTATTATCCTGCTGACAGGTGAATTAATCTCCCAGTGTCTGGTGGAAAGCAGACTGAACCAGATTTTCCTCTAGGATTTTGCCTGTGCTAAGCTCCACTACGTTAATTTTTTATCCTGAAAAACTCCCTAGTCCTTAACGATTGATTACAAGCATACCCAAAACATGTATTCCTGAGTGGCGAGGTGGTCTAAGGCACTGCATCGCAGTGCTAACTGTGCCACTAGAGATCCTGGTTCGAATCCAGGCTCTGTCGCAGCCGGCCGCGACCGGGAGACTCATGGGCGGCGCACAATTGGCCCAGCGTTGTCCAGGGTAGGGGAGGGAATGGCCGGCAGGGATGTAGCTCAGTTGATAGAGCATGGCGTTTGCAACGCCAGGGTTGTGGGTTCGATTCCCACGGGGGGCCAGTATAAAAAAAATATGTATTCACTAACTGTAAGTCACTCTGGATAAGAGCGTCTGCTAAATGACTTAAATGTAAATGTAATGATGCAGCCACTACTATGCTTGAAAATATGGAGAGCGGTACTCAGTAATGTGTTGGATTGCCCCAAAGATCACACTTCGTATTCAGGAAATGTTTTGCAGTACTACTTTAGTGCTTTATGGCAAACAGGATGCATGTTCCGGAATATGTTTATTCTGTACAGGCTTCATTCTCAGTTTTCTCCCATCACAGCCATTGAACTGAACTCAACAAAGGGGTTGAATACTTATCGACTCAAGACACTTCAGCTTTTCATGTTTGTTTTGGAAAAAAATTAAAAGAACATCATTCCACTTCGACATTATGGGTTATTTATTGGGTGTAGGCCAGTGACCAAAGAAATCTCAATTTAACCAATTTTAAATTCAGGCTGTAACATAACAAAGGGTGGAAAAGGTTGAGGGGTGTGAATACTTTCTGAAGGCACTTTACATGCTCACACCTGTAACTGCCAGAGCAGGCTTCTCTGTAATATGGGTTTGACGACGCATGCTGCAGCATACAGCCAGAATGGACAAGACCAGTCTGCTCATCAGTTTAACATTGGTGGACATTTGATTTCCCATAGTGGCTGCATCTGCAGTATTGCCTTTCACTTGAGCAAGCTATAGGATTTAACAGGCCTTTCACCTGAACAAGCTATAGGATTTAACAGGCCTTTCACCTGAACAAGCTATAGGATTTCCAGAGGAAAGCTGATTATATGGAAGACTAGAGGGCATACATTTGACAAGTCACGGAGGGTTCTGAAACAAAAAGATTGAAACCGATTTTAAGGCTTGCACTCCCACCTAGTGGGGGTGGGAAAAAACTCTAACACGAGTTGCTTATATCAGAAGGCAAAAAACAAAAACAAAGTGGGAGTCAGGAAGTCCGTATTAAACACTGGAAAAAACTATTTTCATGATTGGAAACAGAGGCTTTCGAGACTGGGACAAAGTATGTGTTGTTCAGATCTGGAACATTTAGAATTGTAAATGCAGCAGATGTGCTAGTCTGTCGAGGCATCTATTCCAAAAGAGACAATGAAAAAGAGATTCAATAAAAGGTAAAATTCCATGTTCAAGTGCAATGCATGAGCATTTGTTTTTAAGTCCAGTTAAGACTGTGCACAATACATTTAGTAGATCATTTTATTTTAATATATTGATATTCGATTAGGGCACAGCAGGACCTTCCTAGAGTAACAGCAGAAAACATCAAGTTGGCAGTATTGTTCAACATTAGGTAACCAAAGTCAAACAACTTAAGTTCAATACACAGCATTAACTCTAAAAGTATGAGGTAACATTCTGCTTAACACCCTCTTCAAGGTGGTCTTTTTGGACCACAGGAGGTTGGTGGCACCTTAATTGGGGAGGACGGGCTCGTGGTAAAGGCTGGAGCGGAATAAGTGGAATGGTATCAAATACAAACATATGGTTTCCATGTGTTTGATGCCATTCCATTCGCACCGTTCCAGCCATTATTATGAGCCGTTCTCCCCTCAGCAGCCTCCACTGTTTTGGACCGAGTGTTCAACGAGACAGAACTACGATTTCACCTTGCACAAAACCAAAGTCCAGAACATTGAATGTGCATTTAAGTTAAACAATGCCTTTAAGAGCAGCAATTTTACATTCAACTCCATTTCTTTCCACAAAATGAACACAATCATGTCTGCAACAACATGATTTTTCAAATCACAAACTGAAACTCTCCATGCAAATATTTTCGCAATACAATATTCTGTTTGATACTTCCAAACCACGTTTAAAATAAAGTTACGATGTTTCATATCTGATTAGCACTAGTTTCTGCAAGTTAAGTCAACCTTGACACACACACAGGCTGTACTCCCAATTATCATCAAGCCTACTTATTAATTCCTCCCCCACTTTCCCAGTTCAATCACTGATAGAGATGAACAATTCCTCATAAAGCCAATTTCCTAATATATGTATTTTCCATAGACAACCTCGTGAAAGGATAAGATGCATAGCTTCCATTTTGCCAACACATTGGGTTTCAAGTGTAAAACCATTAAAACCCATTTTAGCAATTGGTGTGCAATCACCTGCATTCGAACTGGGAGGGGTTGTTGAGTCTTTGTGGGCATAAACGTCGGCGTGTGCGTCCATTTGAATTCGCACAGCAAAAGTCATTCGGCTGCAAGTGTGACCATGTAGGCAGAACACGGTCAGGCTACTCATTTTGAAATCAATGAAACCGTACCCATTCCTGACGGTGAACCTCTTGACTATACCCCAGACCTTTGTTGCAACGACTCCCTGGTTCTGTACGGCTCAGTTGGTAGAGCATGGCGCTTGCAACGCCAGGATTGTGGGTTCGATTCCCAGGGCCACTCATATACAAATATATATCCATCCCTCGTCCCCTGCGGCTGCCGGGCTGAATGCTGCTGGCTTCACCAAGTGGATGAAGAGACAACCCCCCCCCAGCTTAGATGAATTTGAGTCAATAACCATAGGTCAGAAAAACAGACTAAACCATACTGCCATGCTTGGCAACTTTAATCATTCGACTTAATACCCCTGGCCTAGTACTATCCCCATCAACTGTCCTACAGCCTTCTCCTCTCTCCTCTCACCGACTGTCCTACAGCCTTCTCCTCTCTCCTCTCACCGACTGTCCTACAGCCTTCTCCTCTCTCCTCTCACCGACTGTCCTACAGCCTTCTCCTCTCACCGACTGTCCTACAGCCTTCTCCTCTCACCGACTGTCCTACAGCCTTCTCCTCTCACCGACTGTCCTACAGCCTTCTCCTCTCACCGACTGTCCTACAGCCTTCTCCTCTCACCGACTGTCCTACAGCCTTCTCCTCTCACCGACTGTCCTACAGCCTTCTGAAGTCCTCTGGCCAGTATTGGTCCTGCATGTAGTGGTTTGAGGTAGCGGGGTCTGGGAGAGTACCTATGTCCCAGTCCCTCATTCTCTCTCGCATATCCTGTTCCCACTCCCCCTCCACCAGTTTATACAGGTCCAAAGAAGCCAGAGCGTCCTCCACTGAACTGTGGCCCCTCCTTCCAACCTGGTAGGGATGAGACAAAGATCATGTGTCATCATAGAGTCAAAACCCCCTGACCAACCCAACACTGTCAAGGCTGTTATGATCTATCCATCCATTCAGATCCCTAACCTCAGATGCTTTTAAACGGTCACCAAAAACACCTAGACGGCAGGCAGGAGCACTCACCTGTATTTTCCTGTTTAGGAGGCCGTTTGTCAGGATCTTGAGTGAGACGCAGCGCTTTGTGGGGAAGCCAGCCAGTCGCCTGAGCAGACGCGTGCCACTGGTGTCCCTGATCATGTGACCTGGGTGGGTCAAGTCTAAGGCCTGAAAGTCGTTGTACAGAGCGTGGCCGATCACTACTTTCCCCTCCAGTATTCGTAGTATCTGAACAAGGAAAGCAGACTGGTTAGTATTGGTGCCCATTACCAACGTGAGTATGCACACAAAACAAATAACCAAATTATTAAACTAATCGTAAATGGCTGCCTTTGGTCTCAAAGGAAAGGATATGTGCAACCTAAAACCCCTGAATAGTTGAAACCTATGTCCAGTTGGGCTTTCTAGCATAGAGACTACTCCGATCTTTGCCCACAAAGTAAAGGACTCAAAGGAGAGTAAATGGCAAAGCCAGTCTTCTGGTGGTTATGGTCTCATCACTGACCTCGGTCCTAGCCTCTGGGAAGGGCAGAGCGTTCTGTAAATGGTGCCTCTGGATGCCACTCCAACGGGTCCTGTAGTCGGTCACAGGCTGGCATGGACGGATGTACTTATCGTACAGGATGTTGCCATGGTAATCCACCAGGCTGCAGCGTGCCAATTCACTAGTGCGCCCGCCCAGCCCTGTGCCAACCATCTCACAGTCCATAGCCACCACAGTGGTCGGGCACATGCTGTTGCAGGGAGAACTGTGTCGGCTAGCTCGGGGTGGTGGGGGGGTGGGCTGGCCTCAGACAAGAAGCCACTGTCCACCTCCCATCGTTCACTCAAAGCGGCCGCAAACAGCTTTTTGCTTACTGAAGTCTGCCGGTTGGCTACCCTGTTGTCCCCAGAAGCAGCTGTCAGCGAACCCTGTACAATAGGTGTTAAGGGCACTCCACATTTAGCTAAATGAGTCCTTGAGTCTGTGGGTTTTAGAGTGCTATCAACTTCTAGACAGGTGTGCCTCTCAGGTAATTTGATATTTTTTACTCTTTGGATAGTGTCCTGCGTTTCAATGTTTTCGTCTGTCCCTTTTCTCTGATTGGTGATTTTATGATTCTTTTGATGCGACTTCCGTGCTCTGGCGTTCTCCACAGCATGGAGGAGCACGGCTTCCCGGGATAAATATATATAGTTGTTGATCAGTCCCCAATAACTGCGATGGATTTTACTTCCAATTGAAGTCACTGTTTCAAACATTGTTCTTGCCATGTAGTATCACATCTGCAACAAACAAAAGGTTACTAACTCATAAAAAATAATGTTAAAAAGTTAGAGAATATATGTGCAAGTAGAGAATCGGCAACTTTTACATCACGTCATTATTAAAGGAAAATACCACCACCAAAACAAAAACAAAACTTTGGGTAAGCTAGCTCGCGTGCATTGACAGCGTGTTACCAACGTGTCAAAATCACATTAACAATCAAAATGCCGTCAAACAACAACAATAGGATACATGCTTAGCTAACTTGATAAAGACATAGACTAACCAAAACGCTTTGCTAACAAATAATAGCCTAACACATTGCTAGCATACCATACCTCTGCTGACACGTGCACCAGTCCCGGTACGCGCTACAAGTTTTAATAACTTGCCACTGATTGGCTCGTACGCACATAAGCCCCGCCTTTGGGGTTCGCACTAAACTCTGATTGGATTATATAATAACAAATTAATGTATTTCTACAAATCAAAGAAAAATACCAACTCCTGACCCACTGTCAGTCATTTTATGGAAGAACTTCCAGGTCAATAAAATGTATTGGAAAGCTCCAACGACGTTGACCTCTACTGGAGAGGAAGATTACTTTATCAATAATCCTCCACCATTCAAGTCTGATTCAAACCGATTGAAACACTGAGTACGGTTAAATGCACGCAATAATGTGAGTATTGTGGATAGTAAGATTAATATAATAGTTCGGTTAAAACGTGTACATGCTTTGCAAGAAGAACGATTTCCCTAATAATCCTGTTTAAATGGACACATCTGAAATCCGGATACCTGATGGCACTCTGATAAATTCAGAAAATCGCCAATCAAAATATACGTTCTACCACAGCTACAGCACCCTCTCATGCAGTACCATCCCAGGCTGCTTCAGTGGCCCAGAAATCAGGAGCTGTCCCAGACTCAGAGCTGGATAAGTAAGAGATAACATTATCATAATCAAACTCATAACACTGCAATTCCGCGTGTTATACACTACATTAATTAACAACGTTATCTGTGAGACTAAAGTTGTATATTTAATTCAAATCATTACAACTGAATTCATCTTATTTTGTCTGATTACAACTAAATGTTTCTTTCTGTGTTGCAGGGCAGTCAAGAAATGGAAGGCCACAGAACATTACATCAAATCAAATTGTATTTGTCATATGCGCCGAACACAACAGGTGTAGACCTTACAGTGAAATGCTTACTTACAAGCCCTTAACCAACAATGCAGTTTTAAGAAAGAGTTGGTTTTTCAATATGTTGATGCCATTGATTAAAAGAGTAAGAATATGATGCATTGCCCAACCCAAAAAAATAAGCTTGTTTTACTCAATTGTTTGTAAACAATATAAATGTACAAATAAATTGTTGGTTGCATAAATAATGATTTGTTACATGAAATGTAAATATGAAATAGCAAAACCGAATGGAAACCCCTTTGTTAATAAGTATTGGCATTAATTCACTTAATGGTGAGGCTTGGAATAATGTATATTTTGTTACGCTGGATGTTTAAAATATGAGTAGGTGATTTGAGTCATGCTTCTTCAGTAGTGGAATAAATACACTTAGCACTTGAATTTTGTAAATAAATACTGTGTAAATACTGGAGTGATGTATGATGGTTAATAAAATTGTTCATACACCAATTTTTTATACTGTGTCCACGTGTATGTATGCAAGCATGTTAAAATTACGTTGTTTTCAAGTCCTTTCAACCAAAACCGAACATAGACATCGGGCATAGTTCTTTTCAACAACATTTTGCTAGGTGGGAAAGACCAGGGTCAGGTAGTCATGGCTGGATCAATTCCATTTTGACTTCCAGAAAATCAGTTGTCGTCAGGTGTTTAGGAAGGGAGTCTCTTTCTTGCCAACAACCAGGAGTCACGTCTCTGCCCCACCATTATACTTCTTTAGAACAAAGACAGAGCACATTGGTGTCTTGAAGTGGCCTCTTACAATCAAGGAGTTTCCCGGAAACAAAAGCCTATTCCTGGACCAAAACACTCTTTCAGTACAATATCTCCATTGCATTTCAGTCCAGGAGTAAAGCTTACTCTGCGTCCAGGAAACGGGCCCGTTAAAAGTGCAACACGCTACATTTATAGAATGGTCCCCCCTGGCTTTGAAGAATATGGTTTAGAAATAAGATTATTTTATTATTATTTAGATCACAACCCCTCCCCCCAACAACCCCCAAGGAATTCAGAAACATTTATTCATAAATTAAAATAAAACGTCTTGGTTTTCTGGGCCTTTTATTTCACAATCCTTTCAAATGTACAAAAACAAAAGATAAAAGGAATTCACCATAACTCCCCTCTTCCAGAAATAAACCAATAGATGACTGGAAATTGGTATTGTACCAAAGTGCATCAGAGGTACAGACAGACCAGGGGAAATAATCTCAATTTCAAAGCTGTCCCTCATCCCATACATTAAAAAATTAGGCAGGCCCTTGACACCACCTCCACTTTCCACAGTGTTCGCAGAGCGGCAGGACCCAAGAGGGCCCTCATCTCAACTGGGCTCAGAGCATTCTGTAGTTCACTAAAGATTGGAATATAATTTAGTTGTCAGTGTTTCCCTCCTCGGAATGTTGACTCCAGTTGAGCTTCTATAGTTCGTTCTTCTTCTTCTTCTTGGACTTCTCCTCTTCCTGAGCCACCAGGGGGTTGGTGGCCTCCTTCTTCAGGTAGGAGATTAAGTCACTGACCTCGCGACCTCCCTGAAAGAAAAAACATCAACAAGCCAGGTTAGCTGCTGCATCAATGTGACACAATAAGGCCTAAATGTGAGTTAAGCGTGTCCTTGGAATTTTACATGACAAGGCATGCAGTTATAAAGACGTTTTAGAACTAAACCAAGATAGACCACAGCCCGTTGTTTCAAATGGGAACAAATGAGTCATAGTGGGCAGAACAAGCAAGGAGGTGGGCAGAGCCAAGCACGAGCTGGTGAGATCCTATTGGCGCGTTCTAGCTACATTTGCATAATTCCATCATGGAATGCCTATTCTGTGAAGTGCGCGTGTGCAATAACTCAATTTGCCTTTGCACTCCTTCTAAACAATGTTTTTTATTTTTATTACTTTGGCAAAGGGTAAAGTCTACAAAACGTAGTCCACTCTGTTCGTAACAGATTCTAGTTTTCGGAACAGAAAACGGTAGAGATCAAATGTTTCACCAATGAGAAAATTAGCAGAATGTCGGCCAAAATCCATCTCGCTCCATCTGCTCACACTGGCGACCAATGGGCTTCCTCGCATCACCATATTTGGTAGTGAGTGGAAATGCCAAGCGGATGCTTCACATTTATACATCCGGTTAAATATCTGTCTCCTTGTTCTGTGGTTATATATATGTATACTCGGGACAAACCTCATATTTCTTTGGGCTCATTTTCTGTCCAGCTGGAGCGAAGAAGATGGTAGGGAATCTAAAACAGGGGAAAGAAAAGCATGATGAGACAGACAGGACATCAGACAGGACATCAGACAGGACCTACATGTCAAACACTTGCTAAATAGTTATGACTGTTGGAGATTTATCACTCACCCCCTGACTTCGTATTGGGATGGCACGTCATTGGCTGTGGCGTCCATCTTTGCGATGACAATGTTGGGATCACTGGACAGCTGCGAGGTAGAGAGGGAAAGGGTTAGTCTCACATGCCAATGCAGAATGGCCATAGTCAGAGAATTTCAAATCAGTAGCTGTTACCTTCTCTCCCAGCTCTTTCCACTTGGGCTCCAGGCTCTTGCAGTGGCCACACCAGGGGGCGTAGAACTCAATCAGCACGTCCTTGTCCTCCTCGTTCACAATGGCATCAAAGTTCTCAGCCACCACAGTCTGGAGGACAACGAAAGAGGGCCTTGGTGAGAATGGTTTACACAGACAAACCTTGAAAGAACCCATGCCTCTTTTTGGCGTAAAACAGGGACATCTGTCGGACAGCGCAACACAAACATAGGCCCTCCCCCAACACACTGCTCCAATTGGAAACCATTGAGTTGCTGCTTCTTTTACACATTATTTTGTCGGATTTGGGAGCACCCAACCGCTCGCAATGTCAGTCTCAAGTGCTGACTCACCTTGACTGGGCCGTCGTTGGACTCAGGGATGGGCTCAGACTTGAGGTAACGCTTCAGCTTGCCGTCAAAGTAGTCCTGCAGGAAACGCTCCAGGGCCTTGCCGTCACGTCTGTGGAAAACCAAGACATTGTACTGAATCAGTATAGAAATAACACCCAGATACAGGATGTTTCCAGAGGTTTCTACAGAGGTCACCATGACCCGTTAGCACTGTTATATTCAGCGGAAAGTGTACATTTAACTTGCTGGTAGTAAGACATTACATGTGTATCAAGCCTCGTCTGCTTCTAAACTGTGGTCCTGGCTGATCTCCTTTGTTGCAGAGTTTAAAATGTCACAAACATGGTGCCAAAGCTCCAAGAGATTTTTAACATTCAAGGGACGCTTGAAAATGTTACTGGAGTTCTATGGCAGATTGTGCTCACTCACATAGTCTACTCACAACAGTAAGTGAAATCCCTAGTTAAATAACAGGTATGATCAATGAACTCAACCAGTAAATTCTCAACCCAATGTCCATCCCCCTATCCTAAGTGATACCATGTCCCGAAGTACCACTTGGAGTTGCGTGGTGATAAGTGACTCTTACGAGAACTCCTCGGCCATGACGTATTTGTCTCCCTTGGCGGTGCGTATGCCGACCACGGGCAGCTCCCCGGTGCTGGCGTCCAGGCCCATCTCAGCGATGTCTTGGCTAAAGCTGTTCTTGCTGGCCACGGCAAAGTTCAGCTTGTTCCCCTGGTCCAGGAAGCCCTTGGCTACCTTCATTACCCTATAGACGGTGAGAGAGAGGGAGTTGGGTTCATGCATACAACAACAATGCCTTGGAACATTTATCGCGCATCCCAAATAGTCCAATGAAATGCAAATCTGTTGCAAATCTCCACTGAACATGCTTTTCCATCCGTGTCCAGGAAACCAGCATTCAGAGTACACAAAATGAGATACAAGTTAAGTCTTGGGGACTGAGAGCTGGAGAGATTACACTAACACACATAGTAGCACACGAGACAAAAGGAGGTCCCCTCCTGGGAATAAGTGTCATTTATTAGGGACCCTACCTGTTCCTCCAGTAGTTGGATCCCTTGGGGTTCTTCTCGTAGTCCACATCATAGTAGGCCACCAGCAGGTCCTTGCCCTTCATTTGGTCCTTGTTGTCATCAGTCATGTGGGGGCACATTCCGAAGCTGATGGGGAAAGAGAAAAACGCAGTGTAAGAGCTACAACTCCTTTCATAAATGTCAGCATGCAAAATAAATAAAATTCGCCATCACCTCATTCTAGACCATGGAATTGAACAAAAAAAAGCTGCTCTTGACAGAAACTGGTCTTAACTGGTCCATGCATCTCCCAAGAATTCATTAAATATTCTTACAATAAGAATCCATTCAAAACCCCCTAAATGGTTCATCACTGGCGGCAACACAAAAGGGAGAAAATATTGTGGTAAAACTCACATGTTGTCCTGGATGAACTGCTTGATCTTGGCGTTGGTGAACGTGTCCTCGCTGAACTTGACAATGCTCTCTTCAAATTTGTTGTTGAGGCGTGACGGACGGAACAGAATGATTCCCCTGCAATAAAAACAGAACACAAGCTGATACTAGTGTCAGAAACACACATCAAGCAAGGCAACGCAAACACAATGAGCAATATTAAAAAAAGGGACAGTTCACTTTAAATACATATTAACATGATTGTCCACTTACCTTACAACTACGGTGGAGAAATCACGTTCATTTGTATTGAGTGAACCGTCCCTTTAAAAGGGACAAAGAAGACAATGATGAGAGAGCACTCACTCTCCCTCTATGCCATGTTTCTGGAGAAGCTCCTCGGCGTTGGTGTGCGCAAAACGGAAGGACTCTCGGAGGGCACTGGCCGACTTCAGGAACTCCGCTTCGGCTGGGCTTCCACCGTCAGCAAAGAAACCTGGACAGGACAGACACAGGAAACACGGCATACAGTCAAATATCATTGACGACAAAAGGCAAAAGTAGAAACATTTTACTCAGTCATTTGGTTTTGTTTATTCATGCAGAGCTCAACTTTAAAAAAGGCAAAACCTACCCACAACACTTGCGTCACGGTCTCCGACATACTTTGTGAAATCTGCCTCGGTCTTGAGCTCCACGGAAGCTGGACCGGCCTGCTTTTTAAGATGGCTGACAATTCCATCTGATAGAGAAACCATTGAAATACAGGGTCAAAACATGTAATAGGTGAATGACAGGCAGTGATTATGCATCTCAGCCCATCAGGACAAGACACAGAATGTTAAGGCTAAATACCTGCATTTCTGGGTCCATCATAGGCACCGGCGTCCTCTCCGTCTCTGAAGATCTTCAGTGTTGGGTAACCGCTGACTCCGTACTTCTGGCATACATTGTTGTGGACCGTGCAGTCGACCTAAAGCAAAATGATAGGCGGCCATTACTTAGTGAGTGTGACCAAGAGCACAAACTGGGCGACAGTTTAGAAACATTATGGACATGGTTGTCTTTACATGAGTATGGGGGATTACACACACAACCTTTTCAGTCCAAAGGTCAAATGCAATTGTCCAATGTAAGGTGCATTATGTGACAGAAGTACCTTGGCCAATCCGACGATGCCTTTCAGACGTGTGGCTGCCACCTCATACTCCGGAGCTAGTTTTTTACAATGACCACACCTAAGGAACAAACAAGTGAGGTAAGCTGATATCTGTAAAACAATAAAAAGCTTGGCTCTTATGTTGCCATCCCAGGCAGTGAACCATTCAGGCCTTAGCTTGAAATCTAGATGAGGGGTGGGAGTTAAAAGCAGGTGGAATTTGATACCACCACGACAGATCAAATTGAAGTGTAAATGGACGTTAAAATAAAATGCAGCCGCAATGGTTTGAGGAAAAAGGAAATCCACATATTGCTTGGAAAATACAAATCTGTGAATGCAGTTATCAAATCTGATCAACCATCTTGAAAAGGATAGATTGTTCTGATTATCTGAGGAAGCCCTGCTCAGGTTTGACAGCATTGTTGAACTATGTAACAGTTTTGGGGACCAATCAGAAGTAGCCACCCAAGCTTCACTGGCCAATCATAAGGTTACAACTAACCTAATGTAGTCACTGAGGTGTAGAACCTAGCAGGGTCAAGGCTAGAAGAGATCCAGCTTTTGTGAAATTAACGTTAGATTTGACATTTCGTGGCAGGTTAAGATAATTAGTTTAAGGTTAGGAAAAGGGTCAGGACTAGGGTTAACTAAAATCCACCCCCCAAAAAAACAACATTTTGACAAACGCTGGATCCCTTCTAGCAATGACCACGTTGCAGGCGTAAAATAAACGCCTGAGCGGAAGCCACATTCGTTTTTTAGCGCAAAAGGAAGCTAGGTTGAATTAGTTGGATCCTTGAAAACCCGGATGCATCCGAATGTTGGCAACTCCGCTAAGGGTGGGCCGTCACTAGTTATTACAGCCACAGTCATGATTATTGCTAAACCCCGCCTATTTCTACAATTTATCTAATTAAAATCTGATTTTAAAAACTTAACCCCACTGCTAACCTTATGCCTAACCCTACCTTTTTTGTTTGTATTCATTTTTAAGATAACACACCCCGGCACAAAGTTGAAATTGGCTAACTAGCGACAACCCAAAGGGTGGAGTACAACAGTGGCAGGCCAAGCCCCCAGCGTCCTTATTGGTAACCTAATTGTAAGGTAATTTCCAATTGTAATAGCTAGTAATTTATCCTTCAGGCTAAGTCTGAGAGGTAGACAAGATAACTTAGCAAACGAATGATCAAACAAACTACGAATTAGAAGGCCATTTACTATTAAAACATGAAACGTTCTGGCTTGCCAGGCTCAACTAGTTAGCTATATTAGCCATCTAGTTAGTTAGCCAACTAACCAGCCATGTCCATCTGAGACACCTAACTAGTTAGTTAACGCATTTAATAACGCGTAGCAAAGTGCATGTAACAAATGGTAGCAAAAATGGGTCACTAGGCTAGGCTGTGGCAAATTAGATAGCCATGCACTTCCTAACTTGTTATGAGCTAACCATTATCAACTAGGTACCTAGTTAGTTAGATGGACAGTTGGGGAAACAAATTTGCTAACGTTAATACAGTTAGCTACATGTTTATATAAATTCTAAGGAGCATTAACCTTTTTTGGACAAGCCAATGTTATTCCTCTTGCGTAAGTAACTGAACAGTAGAGACAAAGTAACGATCGCCAACTAGCTAGGTAGCTAACGGCGTCCGTTCACTGGAGATAAAATTGTAACGATTTAGCTTCAGAATGTAGCTAACCTAGCCAGTAGCAAGCTAGCTATGCGTTTCTGTAGAACTTACCATGGCGCAAAGAATTCAACGAGAATCATCCCGTGATCTCCAATTTTACTGTCAAAATCGTCATCCGTGAATTCAATCACATCACTCGCCCGGGCAGCTCCGGCGAGAACAACGAATAAAAACAATTTAAACATTGTATAACGCGCCAACGTCTTCAATCCTACAAAAAGAGCAGCAATTTTAAAATGTAAAGCCGTTTTTTCTGGGGGAAAACCTCCTAATGTTCAAGGCTTTCTCGCTAGGCCCAATGTTGGAGGCACTGTTCGAAAGAGAAAGGGGGAAAAAAAGGGCTAGCGGTGATGATGTGCACTACCGGGGCTTCTCAAAGTAACCCAAGTGTGGCATCTTACCATTGGAGTTTGAATAGCGTCATACTGCCTTAATCAGCCAATAAGAGTCCGGCACACATTATTTCCTTGTTCACTACCAATCCCCAGTCATCTCCTTGGCTTTATCTTGAATAATTGTATCGGAAAAAATCATATTGATCACTGAGCTCAATTCATCCAAATACAGTAAAACAAACGTTTATTTGTTTGAAAAATAAGATACAATCACAGATATTAAAATAGTATTTATTGTAATGTTCATTGCCTATTCATATCTATTCATAATTTGTGTTTTCCCCCAAAAAATACCTTGTTTGTATCAAATGAGACAATACTTACTTTAAAAAAATACAAATCACTACAGTATTTTAAACTGAGAGCCTGACAAAGTTGATTGATTTATGAAGTACAGACACCACCAAACACGTTTTAATAAAATCATGTAATAATTGCATAACAGGCGAGAGATTATGTTCTAGAACGGTTATACTGTTGTGACGTCACACATAGTAGAAGAACATATCGATGTATGACAATTTTGTGTTCTGTTTTTTGATTTTTATTTCACCTTTATTTAACCAGGTAAGCCAGTTGAGAACAAGTTCTCATTTACAACTGCGACCTGGCCAAGATAAAGCAAAGCAGTGCGATAAAAACAACAACACAGAGTTACATATGGGGTAAAAAAACATAAAGTCAAAAAATACAACAGAAAATATATATACAGTGTGTGCAAATGTAGCAAGTTATGGAGGTAAGGCAATAAATAGGCTATAGTGCAAAATAATTACAATTAGTATTAACACTGGAATGCTAGATGTGCAAGAGATTATGTGCAAATAGAGATACTGGGGTGCAAAAGAGCAAAATAAATAACAATATAGGGATGAGGTAGTTGGGTGGGCTAATTTCAGATGGGCTGTGTACAGGTGCAGTGATCGGTAAGGTGCTCTGACAACTGATGCTTAAAGTTAGTGAGGGAGATAAGAGTCTCCAGCTTCAGAGATTTTTGCAATTCGTTCCAGTCATTGGCAGCAGAGAACTGGAAGGAATGGCGGCCAAATTAGGTGTTGGCTTTGGGAATGACCAGTGAGATATACCTGCTGGAGCGCAGACTACGGGTGGGTGCTGCTATGGTGACCAATGAGCTAAGATAAGGCGGGGATTTGCCTAGCAGTGATTTATAGATGGCCTGGAGCCAGTGGGTTTGACGACGAACATGTAGTGAGGACCAGCCAACAAGAGCGTACAGGTCACAGTGGTGGGTAGTGTATGGGGCTTTGGAGACAAAACGGATGGCACTGTGATAGACTACATCCAATTTTCTGAGTAGAGGTGTTGGAGGCTATTTTGTAAATGACATCGCCGAAGTCAAGGATCGGTAGGATAGTCAGTTTTACGAGGGCATGTTTGGCAGCATGAGTGAAGGAGGCTTTGTTGCGAAATAGGAAGCCGATTCGAACCAGGATCTCTTGTGGCTCCTGAGTGGCGCAGTGGTCTAAGGCACTGCTTTGCAGTGCTAACTGTGCCACTAGAGATCCTGGTTCGAATCCAGGCTCTGTCGCAGCCGGCCGCGACCGGGAGACTCATGAGCGGCGCACAATTGGCTCAGGGTAGGGGAGGGAATGGCCGGTTGATAGAGCATGGCGTTTGCAACGCCAGGGTTGTGGGTTTGATTCCCACGGGGGGCCAGTATATATAATAAAAAATTATATATACATATGTATTCACTACCTGTAAGTCGCTCTGGATAAGAGCGTCTGCTAAATGACTAAAATGTAAATGGTTAGACTGTAAACTCTCCTTCCAGACTCACATTAAGAATCTCCAATCCAAAGTTAAATCTAGAATCGGCTTCCTATTTCGCAACAAAGCCTCCTTCACTCATGCTGCCAAACATGCCCTCGTAAAACTGACTATCCTACCGATCCTAACCAGACACCTAGGTATTTGTAGTTGTCCACATACTCTAGGTCAGACCCGTCGAGAGTGGTGATTCTAGTCGGGTGGGCGGGTGCCAGCAGCGTTCGATTGAAGAGCATGCATTTAGTTTTACTAGTGTTTAAGAGCAGTTGGAGGCTACTGAAGGAGTGTTGTATGGCATTGAAGCTCGTTTGGAGGTTTGTTAACACAGTGTCCAATGAAGGGCCAGATGTATACAAAATGGTGTCGTCTGCGTAGAGGTGGATCTGAGAGTCACCAGCAGCAAGAGCGACATCATTGATATACACGGAGAAAAGAGTCGGCCCAAGAATTAAGGAACAGTTCAGTCATGTCAAACTGCTTAGGTGAAGTCATGTCAAACTGCTTTGGATTGCATAGCTGAACTAAATTAATACAGACAAAATGGGGACACAGGTAAGTAATAACTTGTCATATCAATGGAAGTCTTTACAAACTTTAGTATAAATTCAGGGACTAATCTCTGACAACAGTTGCATTTTTCTGATGGTTTTCATGGTTATTTCCCACGGGAAATGTTGGTGTTTTACCCAATAAATTACTGGGAGTTTATATGTAGTGTGCGACTCTATTTATTTATTTTAATAGCTTATAGTTTATTCACCATTAGTCGCACCTCTACACTAAATAATGTTCTATGGGTGTGTGCCAGCTCATGCTTTTTATTAGACTTGAGGTGATTAAAAACTAAACCTGATAGGTTTAACAGCTCATACCCTTTGTTATAAGCTGCATGCTAAATAACAAGGATGCTTATTGTGTGTGTGTGTGTGTGTGTGTGTGTGTGTGCGTGCGTGCGTGTGACAGACGTGGAGAACTACACCGTTCTAATGGGGAAGGACACACCAGCTGGTGCGCTTTGAGATCTACCCCAGAGAGGCAGCACCATCACAATGGACCACCGTTGCCAGGGACGACTGGATTCTAAAGAGTATCCCTCCACAGAGTCTTGAATGGAAAACCTTTTAGTTGTACTGTACCTAGAAATGTCATGGGGGGATTCTACTATGGCGATGTACTTGAGACTCATGTTGAATTTCATGATTATTTATAGCAACATTTCAGGTGTTGTCTCAGAGAAAAGCTTTGCACAAATTCCTTTCTAGTGTACTGTTTACTGTATATTGTATAATATTATTGTGGGACTAATCTTCGGTCTGATGCGTGGGTTCACCATGATTAATACCACAACAAAGAATACTTGTTGATGCTTTTTTTTTTTTTTTTCAATGACATAAGATGTTTCACTACATTTAGCAGAGCGACTTACAGTAGTGAGTGCATACATTTGAATACTTTTTTCGTACTTGTCCCCTGTAGGAATCAAATCCAGGTGTTGCAAGTGCCATGATCTACCAACTGAGCCACACGGGACCTAGCTTGAATGCCTACTGCATTTCAAATGCTTTTCAAAAATCTTACTGTATTCACTCAAGTAAATCCTACTTGAGTAAAAGTCTAATAAAAGTATTTGGTTTAAATATACTTAAGTATCAAAAGTAAATGTAAATGCTAAAATATACTTAAGTATAAATCATTTCAAATTCTTTATATAAAGCAAACCAGACTGCACCATTTTCTTGTTTTTTACATTGACGGATAGCCAGGGGCACGCTCCGACACTCACACATAATTTACAAACTAAGCATTTGTGTTTAGTGAGTCCACCGGATCAGAGGCAGTACGGATGACCTGAGATGTTCTCTTGATAAGTGTGTGAATTGGACCATTTTCCTGTCCTGCTAAGCATTCAAAATGTAACGAGTACTTTTGGGTGTCAGGGAACATTTATGGAGTAAGAAGTACATACCTTTCTTTAGGAATGTAGTGAAGAAAAAGTAAAAGTTGTCAAATATATAAATAGTAAAGTAAAGTACAGATACCCCAAAAAACTACTTAAGTAGTACTTTAACTTAAGTAATTTACACCACTGGATACACATAAATAAATACATGCAAAACCACATAGATATGTCTATGCATTATATATACAGATATACAGTACGTATACCAAACATTATGAACACCTTCCTAATATATTCCACAGGGCTGCTGGCCCATGTTGACTCCAATGGTTCCCACAGTTGTGTCAAGTTGGCTGGATGTCCTTTGGGTGGTGGACCATTCTGGATACACACGGGAAACTGTTGAGCATAAAAACCCAGCAGCATTGCAGTTCTTGACACACTCAAACCGGTGCGCCTGGCACCTACTACCATACCCTGTTCAAAGGCACTTAAATATTTTGTCTTGCCTATTCACCCTCTGAATGGCTCACATACACAACCCATGTCTCAATTGTCTCAAGGCTTAAAAATCCTTCTTTAACCAGTCTCCTCCCCTTCATCTACACTGATTGGAGTGGATTTTACAAGTGACATCAATAAGGGATCATAGCTTTCACCTGGTTAGCCTGTCATGCAAAGAGCAGGTGTTCTTAATGTTTAGTATACTCAGTGTATGTTATACAAATGGGTACGTACAGATAGATACAGAATAGTTTGCGGAAATCATAGAAATTTAGAAACACCCGGAGACGATAAGTATTGGCCAATACAGATGAACTGTTTGAATTACATTATTGAGTAGGTCCAAATCACAGTTACAGTACTCAAGTTACCTCTTTCCTCCCCAGCCTTCAAAGGAGTGGACGTTCGCGACCTGGAGATTGTGGAACTCCTGAGGAAGTTCCGTATCCTCTGCTACCTGAAAATGGTCTCCAAGTTCAGGCAGATCCGCCTTATCTTGTTGGCCATCTCCAAAGCTTTCAAGGTAGGGAACTAACCATAGGTATATAATTATTATTCTGAATGATCATTCTATTTCTATGGAACCAACCGTTTTTTCACACCCACTGTATTGGTCCCACTGTAATGGTGTCAGCGTTTATTGTGAAGTTAGAGAGTGAGTGACACAAACTTTGGTTGTAGGAGCAATCATGAATGACTTTGAGGTCTCTTGATTTCCCATAAATAGGCCATGTCACCAGGAAAAAAAACGTCTAGCCCTCCCCTAGTGGATAGTGACTATTCAATTCAATTCAATTCTACTTAAAGGAAAATTCCACCCCAAAACTATTTTGATATTTGTTTCATTAGTCCATTGTTTTTTATAGTCCCAAAATGTTTTGCATGTCAGCAAGTTTTCAAGATATATAACTTAAAAAAATACAGAAATACAGCCGGCATTGAAAACTTGATTACTGACATGCAAAACATTTTGGGACTATAAGACACAATGGATTCTATTTCTGTATTTTGTATTTCTGTATTTTGAAAGTTATATACACTGAACAAAAATATAAAGCAACGTCTAAAGTGTTAGTCCCATGTTTCGTGAGCTGAAATAAAAGATCCCAGAAATGTTCCATACGCACAAAAAGTGTATTTCTCGCAAATTCTGGGCACACATTTTTTTTACATCCCTGTTAGTGAGCATTTCTCCTTTGCCAATATAATCCATCCACCAGACAGGTGTGACATATCAAGAAGCTGATTAAACAGCATGATCATTACACAGGTGCACCTTGTGCTGGGGACAATAAAAGGCCACTCTAAAATGTGCAGTTTTGTTACACAACACAATTCCACAGATGTCTGAAGTTTTGAGGGAGCGTGCAATTGGCATGCTGACTGCAGGAATGTTCACCAGAGCTGTTGCCAGAGAATGTAATGTTCATTTCTCTACCATATGCCACATCCAATGTCGTTTTAGAAAATGTGGCTGTACGTCCAACTGGCCTCACAACCGCAGACCACGTGTATGGCGTCGTGTGGGTGAGTAGTTTGCTGATGTCAACTATGTGAACAGAGTGCCCCGTGGTAGCGGTGGGGTTATGGTATGGGCAGGCATAAGCTATGGACAATGAACACAATTGCATTTTATTGATGGCAATTTAAATGCAAAGAGATACTGTGACGAGATCCTGAGGCCCATTGTCGTGCCATTCATCTGCTGCCATCACCTCATGTTTCAGCATGATAATGCACGGCCCCATGTCGCAAGGATCTATACACAATTTCTGGAAGCTGAAAATGTCCCAGTTCTTCCATGGCCTGCATACTCACCAGACATGTCACCCATTGAGCATGTTTGGGATGCTCTGGATCGACGTGTACGACAGCGTGTTCCAGTTCCTGCCAATATCCAGCAACTTTGCACAGCCATTGAAGAGAAGGGGGACAACATTCTATTGGCCACAATCAACAGAACAGCCTGATCAACTCTATGTGAAGGAGATGTGCCACGCTGCATGAGGCAAATGGTGGTCACACCAGATACTGACTGGTTTTCTGATCCACAGCCTTTTTTTAAAGGTATGTGACCAACAGATGCATATCTGTATTCCCAGTCATGTGAAATCCATAGATTAGGGCCTAATTTATTTATTTAAATTGAATATTTTCCTTATTTGAACTGTAACTCAGTAAAATCTTTGAAATTGTTGCAAGTTGTGTTTATATTTTTGTTCAGTATATCTTGAAAACTTGATCACTGACATGCAAAACATTTTGGGACAACAATGGACTAATGAAAAATAGTTTTTGGGTGGAGTTTTTTTCTTATTGATGACAAAATATATCTGTGTGTTTACAGGCCATGACCTTCATATTGTTACTGCTGCTGGTGTTTGCTTATATCTTCGCTGTGGTCGGAGTCATCTTGTTCCAGAGTTACACTCGCTCCAACGTCGAGGGCCTGGTCTACGATATTAACTGTAAATGTGTGATATTTGCTCATACTATGAAATATAGATTTATTTGGAAGTATTGAACAGTAGTATTTCTCTCATTCTCATTTATGATAAAATAATATGATAGAAATGTGTTTAAAACAGTTGATATTGAGCTTATCGTGCAAAATGACATTTTCTATCATACATTTTGAGAAGCCTTAAAGAGTAGAATGCAAACTCTTCCCACTGGGCACAGACGTCAATTCAACATTTAATACACGTTGGTTAAAAATAATTCCATTGAATTGATGTTGATTCAACCAGTGTGTGCCCAGTGGGTTGATATTACATTACAGATAAAGTTGGAGTCCCACCAGTCAGAATCTATTTCTGTTAGGGAACAAAACCTAGTTTTGACAAATTCATGTTACACCTTCAAAAGGTTTTTGACACATTTTCACAAACTTTCATATTGTCTCCCAGAGATATCTACAACTCCTTCATCCCTCTCGTCATCCTCTTCATCATGGATCACTAGTCTGCTCTGCTCGCCGACACCCGCAATCTTCCAGAACTGAACCAAGCCACCTGTGGCCTGTACATCATCCCCTGGCTCCAAACATAAAACAGACTGGATTTCCATTGCAAACCTTTTTAAACCATTTTCTATTTCATGCCCTAATGAATGGCCCCGTGGTTTCCTCTGTTAGACTGGGAGGCGTACGTGCAGAACCACCTGGATGAGGAGAGGAAGAGGCTGCGGAACCACCTGTACCAGGAGAGGAAGAGGCTGCAGAACCACCTGGACCAGGAGAGGAAGAGGCTGCAGAACCACCTGGACCAGGAGAGGAAGAGGCTGCAGAACCACCTGGACCAGGAGAGGAAGAGGCTGCAGAATGTGGTAGATAAGAAATCACACGTAGAGTAGTAGTAGTCCGCTACCAGACTGGCTTTAGACGAGGAAGAGACTGGGATCAGGTTAGGGCTGCATCTCAATAGACTGGGATCAGGTTAGGGCTGCATCTCAATAGACTGGGATCAGGTTAGGGCTGCATCTCAATAGACTGGGATCAGGTTAGGGCTGCATCTCAATAGACTGGGATCAGGTTAGGGCTGTATCTCAATAGACTGGGATCAGGTTAGAATGCATCTCAATAGACTGGGATCAGGTTAGGGCTGCATCTCAATAGACTGGGATCAGGTTAGGGCTGCATCTCAATAGACTGGGATCAGGTTAGGGCTGCATCTCAATAGACTGGGATCAGGTTAGGGCTGTATCTCAATAGACTGGGATCAGGTTAGAATGCATCTCAATAGACTGGGATCAGGTTAGAATGCATCTCAATAGACTGGGATCAGGTTAGGGCTGCTTCTCAATAGTCATAAAAGTTGCTTCGTTTTGTTTCCTTGTCTCCTTCCCTTAATCTGCACTGATCAGTGAGAATGAAGGAGACGAGATGGGGAGAGGAAACAACTTTAGACTATGCACTTTGCAATAGTCTTGATAGCCGAGACTAGTAGAAATACTGTACGTCAACTATTGTGACAACAACTCCTTTTGGTTTCTTGTGTTTGCGTCAGGTACCTTGATCATGTATTTGTTAAGTATGCCTCATTTTATAACCTCATTGGAAAGTACTTTCATCTCTGAGGTGTAATGAATAAGATGAGTGTGTTCCATATACATAGATACAGTAGATATCTCTCTCTCTCTCTCTGAGCAAGCCAATAATAGCCTGGTTAAACCAGACTGAATGCTGCGCTCACCATTGTTTCACTTCACCTCAGTTAGGATGCCAGGCTAAGCCGATGAGGTCAAATATATTCCTTCCTAGTAGTAGTAGTAAACTTGAATGGCCTCACAGTTCCCCCAGATATTCAATAGGGGGCGCCCTTACACAGTTTTCAGTGAGCCCTCTGGGAGGCCACGCACCATATCCACCAATTCTCCTTGGGATTATTCCCTGCAATCAAATCCTCATATTATGGGGTTTAGATAGGCCTATCTGGTAAATACAACATTTTGTTGTCAGGGTGAATAATATTTTTACTTTCTCATTGAACAGTTTCCAATGACTACCCCCAAGCAATAAGACTCCTGAACAGGTAATCAAATGGCTACCCGGACTATTTGCATTGTGTCCCCCCCCTCAATTACCTAAAATGTTTCATTGGTGTTACCATCAATGGTATTACTACTCCTACTGGTGGCTCGATGTTATCATAGTGGTATTACTACTCCTACTGGTGGCTCGATGTTATCATAGTGGTATTACTACTCCTACTGGTGGCTCGATGTTATCATAGTGGTATTACTACTCCTACTGGTGGCTCGATGTTATCATAGTGGTATTACTACTCCTACTGGTGGCTCGATGTTATCATAGTGGTATTACTACTCCTACTGGTGGCTCGATGTTATCATAGTGGTATTACTACTCCTACTGGTGGCTCGATGTTATCATAGTGGTATTACTACTCCTACTGGTGGCTCGATGTTATCATAGTGGTATTACTACTCCTACTGGTGGCTCGATGTTATCATAGTGGTATTACTACTCCTACTGGTGGCTCGATGTTATCATAGTGGTATTACTACTCCTACTGGTGGCTCGATGTTATCATAGTGGTATTACTACTCCTACTGGTGGCTCGATGTTATCATAGTGGTATTACTACTCCTACTGGTGGCTCGATGTTATCATAGTGGTATTACTACTCCTACTGGTGGCTCGATGTTATCATAGTGGTATTACTACTCCTACTGGTGGCTCGATGTTATCATAGTGGTATTACTACTCCTACTGGTGGCTCGATGTTATCATAGTGGTATTACTACTCCTACTGGTGGCTCGATGTTATCATAGTGGTATTACTACTCCTACTGGTGGCTCGATGTTATCATAGTGGTATTACTACTCCTACTGGTGGCTCGATGTTATCATAGTGGTATTACTACTCCTACTGGTGGCTCGATGTTATCATAGTGGTATTACTACTCCTACTGGTGGCTCGATGTTATCATAGTGGTATTACTACTCCTACTGGTGGCTCGATGTTATCATAGTGGTATTACTACTCCTACTGGTGGCTCGATGTTATCATAGTGGTATTACTACTCCTACTGGTGGCTCGATGTTATCATAGTGGTATTACTACTCCTACTGGTGGCTCGATGTTATCATAGTGGTATTACTACTCCTACTGGTGGCTCGATGTTATCATAGTGGTATTACTACTCCTACTGGTGGCTCGATGTTATCATAGTGGTTACAGTTATTGAAAGTCCTTAAGATACCATATTAGTTCACTGAGAACGGAAAGATGTTCCCAAATACGTTTAACAGGCTGGTAGAGCATGTTTGACAATGGATTTAGAAGTGGATAAAAAAAAAATCTAAACTTAATAATATAATAAATAATAATATGCCATTTAGAGACGCTTTTATCCAAAGCGAATTACAGTCATGTGCGCATACATTTTTACGTATGGGTGGTCCCAGGGATCGAACGCACTACCCTGGCGTTACAAGCGCCATGCTCTACCAATTGAGCTACAGAGGACCACTTGAACTTGATTGGCCAACTCCCCCAGTCCTCCTGCATCAACTTACATAATTTGTATCCTTTTGGGTTGCTGCAGTTCAGTGTTGTGGCCCTTTGCCTACTCAGAGGGCTGTAAGAAAACTCAAAATCAGTCACCAAAGATATGTGATAAAAGGCAGGAATTCCTTTGGTGAGGGGTTCATATTGCACCATGGATAAGGTTTGACAGCAATATACGGTATGCTTTGGTTTTGTTTATCTGGCCACTGTCTCCAAATGCTAACAATTTGGCATTTGTGGCAAGTCATATGCCCAATATTTTTCACGTTTCATCATGCCCACATTTATCTGACCGCAGTCTCTCAGAACTTATGTAAGATGATTATCGTGAAATCAATAGTGTTTGTATCTATGAGGAACATGCATAGGTCTACAGGTATTATGAACATCCTTCATACAGTATCGGGTCTATATCGTGTGCAGAGTGTCTGGTCAGGGCTAGCCTGGTGTCAGATCTGTTTGTGCTGTCTTGCCAACTCCTATGGTCATCTCATGGCATGACCATGCTAGGTCAGGGCATACATTGAACAACTTTCTACTTTTAGGCAGATTACAGGTACACTGAACAACAATATAAATGCAACATGTAAAGTGTTGGTACCATGTTTCATGAGCTGAAATAAAAGATCCAAGACATTTTCCATACGCACAAAAAGCTTATTTCTCTACATTTGTTTACATCCCTGTTAGTTAAAATTTCTCCTTTGCCAATATAATCCATCCACCTGACAGGTGTGGCATATCAAGAAGCTGATTAAACAGCATGATCATTACACAGGCACACCTTGTGCTGGGGACAATAAAAGGCCACTCTAAACACAACACAATGCCACAGATGTCTGAAGTTTTGAGGGAGCCTGCATTTGGCATGCTGACTGCAATTTAATGTTAATTTCTCTACCATAAACCGCCTACAACGTCGTTTTAGAGAATTTGGCAGTACGTCCAACCGGCCTCACAAATACAGACCATTTGTAACCATGCCAACCCAGGACCTCCACATCCGGCTTCTTCACCTGCAGGATCGTCTGAGACCAGCCACCCGGACAGCTGATGAAACTGTAGGTTTCCACAACCGAAGAATTTCTGAACAAACTGTCAGAAATCGTCTCAGGGATGTTCATCTTCATGCTCGTCGTCCTCACCAGGGTCTTGACATTATTGCAGTTCGGCGTCATAACTGACTTCAGCGGGCAAATGCTCACCTTCAATGGCCGCTGGCACACTGGAGAAGTGTGCTGTTCACTGATTAATCCCAGTTTCAACTGTACAGGGCAAATGGCAGACAGCATGTATGGCGTTGTGTGGGCGAGTGGTTTGCTAATGTCAATGTTGTGAACAGAGTGCCCCATGATGGCGGTGAGGTTATGGTATGGACAGGCATAAGCTACGGACAACGAACACAATTGCATTTTACTGTGATGAGTTCCCATTGTCGTGCCATTCATCCGCCGCCATCATGCCAGCTAGCTACCTACAATTCAGCTGTTTTTCTAACCTCATTATCTGAAGCGTTAACGTTAGGTAGTTAGTAGCTACTGTACTTGAAATGTAGCTAACTGGATAGCTAACTAAACAATAGCTGGAACGACCTAGCTTTAATATTTGGAGATGCTTTCTCTCCATTGGGACAGACGCGAACTGGCTGAATTGATTCAGTGGCTAGCTTTGCACTTAACTGGCTAACAGTAGCTACTAAGGGTAAGTTATAACCTACATTTCTTTTTGTTTTGTTTTTACATACTGGTAACCAGAGTCGTTCAAGGGAATTCGGGACATAGGTGACTAGTTAACGTTAGCTTGGCTCTCTGTGTGTTCGTGCCGTGGGTGGAGGGGTTAGTTCGTTGGCAGAGAGCAATGGCTAGCTAGTATGCTAACTATTCTAGCTAACTAACTGGCTGAATAAGTTGACGACGTACTCACTCAAACTGTCAAAACTAACCCAAAACTTTACACAATGTTATACATGGACACAAATGATCTGCTTGGCGTGTTAACACACTGGTGGTTTGTTGTAAC